GTTCGGTGTGGAGGATGGGCATATTTTATTTTTATCTTTCTATTTAAACTCACATCATTTTCAGTTGATCTGCTCGTAAATAGGACTGGAAATCAAAATAAACCGTTAATCTCACCTTTGCTGAAACATTCACACCGTGACGTCAGCAAAACCTTATAAATGATKAGTTTTATTTAAATTGTAAAATATTGTTGAAAATATAATAAATATAATAGGACGGATAAATTAAGCCAGCTGTTAGTGAAACTAAGGTTAATCTGGCCAAAGCGCAGCACAAAGAAAACAATCTACATTAACTTCCGGTTACATTAGCTTACAAAAACGCTCAGATTAAAAAAATATTATAGGATTTATTCCATTTTAAATCGTGTTACCTGTTTATAAAATGCTTTAATAAAAAGCAGAGGTTGCCAAACATTTCACCTAAATTAATTCACAACAAAACACCGGAAGGGACCTGTGACCCCGACTGCTGGGTGAAGCGTAAAAACCTCCAAACAAATCAAACAAGAACGTAATGACGACATGTTTATTATGTTTTAACTTGTATTTTCTTACAATATAGCAAAAAAAAACAATACTCATTTAAATTAAATTCTAAGTTAAGTAGGCTATTTGGAGACCACTAATCGGGTCCAGACCCCACTTTTAAGATATTTAGATAAATCACTGATCTCTTATTTAGCTTTATAAAATAAAATCTTAGGCTGGTAGACATTTTGGCCCAAGTGGAATCTTCTTGATGCTTCTCGGTGCCTTGAATCACGCGCGCCCTCCTGTTTCTTCAGGTTTGGTTCCAGAACAGACGTGCCAAGTGGAAGAAAAGGAAGAAGACCACCAACGTGTTCCGCGCCCCCGGCACGCTGCTGCCCACCCCGGGCCTGCCGCAGTTCTCCGCCGCGGCCGCCATGGAGAACAGCCTGTGCTCGTTCCACGCCAACGACTCGCGCTGGGCCACGGGGATGCCCGGGGTGTCCCAGCTCCAGCTGCCGCCGGCCCTGGGCCGCCAGCCGGGCATGGCGCAGTCCCTGTCACAGTGCAGCCTGGGCCCGGGCCCGCCGCCGAACTCCATGGGTCTCTCCAACGGCCTGTCCTCCAACGGCTCCGGCCTGCAGTCCCACCTGTACCAGACGCCTTTCCCAGGAATGTCGGCGTCCCTGTCCGGCCCCACGAACGTATCGGGCTCCCCGCAGCTGTGTAGCTCCCCGGACAGTGACATGTGGAGAGGGACAAGCATCGCGTCACTCAGGCGCAAAGCGCTGGAGCACACAGTGTCCATGAGTTTCACTTAGTGACTTGTCACCCACCGCACCCCTGCTCCTCCCTGCAGCTTTTTTTTTTTTTWAWTTTTTTTTCCTGTTTTAATCCTGCTGTTTAGATCCAAACCAGAGAAAGAGACCTGAAATAGGAGAAAATGGAGTCGAAAAATAACAGGACGAGACTGATGGACAGAAAAAAGACGGGGGAAAAGATCAAATTGTCTATCTTGTTATTTCAAATGGATTTGATGAACTCTTGAAGATAAATACTGATGTAATGATCTTTAGATAAATAGGTCCTAATTACTGGGAGCCAAACAATTGTTGTATTTATGTTTTCATGGACGTGTCTTTACGCACACGTTATTGTATTCAGGTGACGTTGTGTTCTGTCAAGCCGTTCTGACTGGGTTCTGGTATCAGTCCACCATAGAGAGCCTCCTGAACTGAACTGGATCCCAGGCATGAATTAAAGCTTAAAACTAAAGGATTGACTCGACACTTTTCTCAGATGAACTCAGTCTGGTCTGCAGGAAACGTGAGCATACATCAAAGTGGGGGGGCAAAATAAAAATAAAATAAAAATATGAAACGACCCCTCAGTATAAGCCTACTCTGTTTTAGGATGTTTTGTGTAGATGAAACATTCTTGCTGTACACGCTGGTCTTTTTTGTGACATGTTTTAATTGTATGTGCTTTTACTTGACACATTTCTTAAGTGTTTGATCTCTCACGTCGAAACGCATCATATTGACGGGTTTGTACCGATTTAAAATGAAGAAACAAATAAAAGTACTTTTCAAGAATGTCCGAACAACAATGATCAATGTCTCTGCTCAATGTGACGTCATCGTTTTTCGCAGAAATGCTCTTTTATGGACTTTTGTKCACAAGTTTTAGGGCAGACGAATTAAAAAAAAACTATGAAGTTTTATCATAAACCTCATGGGCTCACTGGTGCTGCTGGGAAATTTGTGATGTGTTCACGTCTGCACGGGCTAATTAAGGCTTTAGGTCATTGCTGTTAACCATGACGGTCATAGCGCTTGATCCAAACGTGTCTGTGGCTCCAAAAAGGCATTTATTTGTATTTTTAGCATCAAGTTCAACGAAAATGTATTCACTTTTAAAAGAGCAGCAGAAACTAAATTCATATTAAAACAAAATCGAACTGGTTTGCCTTCGTTGCAAGTTGGAAATAATAAGACTGACGCATGTTTTTAGTTTCTGAAATACAATATAAATGCCAATTCTTTTGATTCATTATCAAAACAGTCCCTGTTGTCTGTATATAAACAGCTTTGAGGTTATTTTACATCAGAGATGCATAACAAGTCATGCTGCTGTTGGGCTGTTTTATTAAAGGTACAGCGCAAAATTTACAGCGCAAAGCGCACAACTTACAGCAAAGAGCGCAAAACTGTGCGCAAAACCAATCTCATCTGCAACGTGCAGGCAAAACCATTTTATTTTTGGTTCTATGAAAAATGTTTAAATGAGGAAACCATATTAGCCCTCAAATAAGCAAAATATTACTATTTGAACGTTATTTTTGAAATATTTTCGGACTTTATTTTGGAAGTCAAATGAGTTACATTAAGTTTATACTTTTTTAGTTTTAAAACAAGCCTTCATAACATTACATCCTGAACTAAATATGCTTTAAATTCAATGATGCACTTTAAGAGAGATTTAGAGATAAAAGTCAATGTGGTTAACATTGGCAATATTTATTTTCCTAAATAATATTTATCAAACAGATCTTCAAAATCAAATTTAAACAGATTTGATTTAATGCCTTTTTTGTGTGTTTTTTTTACATTTAATTCTCACATTAATTTTTACAACAATGGGTCACTTTTTTTATCATTTTAGTTTCAGATAATCTTGATGAGAGATTTAATGAGCGGCAGCCCCGAACGAGGTAAATACAATTTTTTCCATTATGAAAGTGAACGCACCTCACTTTCTGTGTCAAAGAGTATAAGTGTCAACTTGAGCCTGAAATCACAGCAGCTCAAATTAATCAGCGTGTTAACCTCATCTCTCTGCCAGCGCTGAGGCCAATTTATGGTCACGGGATAGTAATTGATGAGATATGGCATTACCATAAGCAGTCCCACTGCCTGTAAACTTATAATGAAGTTTCTGTAACAATGCTGGGGGGGTTAAACAAAGGATTAATCATAATTAACAAAAGAATATTACATTTTACATATTAAACTGCTGTTTCCCACCTTTTTTCTAATAACTCAAACTTGTTTTCAGTAATTCACCAAAGTACTGAAAATACCAAGTCAAGACCCTGGATATTTCATTTATCCCAGCGTGTTTACAGACACTCGCTTTCTGAAGGCAATAATATGAAGTTTTCCAACTCACAGTAAAAACATTTAACTTCTTCTTTACTTTTTCATTTACAAGCTGCCAATAAACAGGTTACGTTTCATTTGTATAAAGTGAAATAATTTAAAAGAAAAATGAAAACACTGCATAACTGAACATGTGGTTTTTTTCCAATTTACAGCATATAAACTGTRACAAGTTCCTATGAACCAAGTGTTATGAAAATAGAATGTAAACAGTGAATTTACAATCATTTATTTGTGAAAAACAATTTCAACCTTACAATTTAGTCAAAGATACTCGTTGCAAACTAGGAAATCAAACATAAATGATCCTGAACAAATGGTGCATTTTGAGAGTGTTTACACAGTAGTTTTTATTTATGGATTTGTAATTATAAAATGCGGGTATGCACTCAATGTAAACAAAATATTTTACTTTATTCCACAAATCTGACCAAAAATATGTACAGATACATCACAATAACATGAAAATAGGTCATATTTTTGTCACTTTAGCTGTTTATGAAGGAAATAAACACACATGCTTGGCAGATAGTCACAATTTTTTTTATTTAGTGACATCAATACGAAAAATAAATTGCGCTGATTTTGYATTTTAGTTCATAATTGTGTTTTATAACATTGCAACCTTTAAAATAACAATATTTCAAGACATAGCATGAAAAAGTCCTTTTTTCTTTATTTCTTTTTTCTCCTTACCAGGTCAAACCGATTTTTTTTTTCTAATTACGGGCAGAAGTATACCCATTCTGCAAAGGCATGCAATTAAAAGATACTGACAGCTGATTAAAGCACAGTTAGACTGACTGCTGCTCCATCCATCCACTCTGCAGCTGCAGTAAAGGTGCGAGCCTGTGCAGGTCTGGGAATTCGGGTTTTATGCTCGGCTCAGCCCACCAGATCCGGCCCCTGTGCTGACTACTGTGTCCTGGACTSCAGTAACAGATGTGAAATCACATTACCCAAACGCTGCAATTAGTCTCACTCGCTCGTGGGTTAATGAGTTTGTGGAAATGTGCGACCCATTCCTCATTAGGCAATTTCTCATGCACTGATGAGAGAGGGAGAGAGATGTGGTTACAGCAACTTTAGCAGGAATGGCGTACAGTCCTCTGTAACACATACTGTACAGTGTTTGGAAGAGGAGATACAATTCACTCACTGCTTTTAAATGCATAAAATGATCTTTTCTCTGTAGTCTAGATTTGTGTGACACATCACATCAAACTGTGTCAAATTTGATCTAAATAATCTAAACATATTTTCAAATTCCTGGCTTTAAAAGCTATGACACCTGGATCATCCTAACATCATGAGCAGTTCCAGCTATATGACTTAATTTGTCTTGTTAATCATGATAACACATTAATACTTGGTCTGAATCCTATTTTTATGTCATGTTAATGAGGAAGTTTTGATGTCCGTATAGAGAAAATCTCAAATAATGTTTGGACATTGAGATTTCCCATCTGGAATGAAACAAAAGCTTTGCTCACAGGGAAAATATCCAAATTTTAAGGTGCTTTTCTTTGACAAAATACAGTTACTGTGAATGTTTTAATCAAAACACCACTTTAGAGCTCCTTGTTTAGATGTGATGGCTCACATAAATCTGCTGAAGCTGTATTAGTGTGTTTAATTATGAAGTGAGGAATCTTATTCCTTTGCAGGCCTGCTTGTGAATAAATAACCTGAGGCAAAGCTCTGACACAACCCAGGACAACTAAGGAACTAATTAGCAGTTAAATACCGACGTGTTTCTGTCCTGCACCTTTTATTTGGTTAGTTGGAGTGTGAGGCAGGTTACCTCCACTCGACGTGTCCCCATTCACTCACTCAGACACAGACCACCTGCTGCTTAAATGGGTGTTTTATACGTTAGCGTGTGCGCAGCTCGGAGGTTTTGTTGTGGACTTGGATTACTGCAGGGATGGATGTGGTAACCTGGTGATGCTCGGTTCAGCAGAGGAGAATGTAACCTCRCTCTTGTGGGAGATGAAGGTGAAAAATCTTCAAACCGATCCAATTTAGAGCATTAGAGGCAGTTGCTCTGTCCCATCTCTGCACTTAAGAGCATAAAGGATAGTTATTCATTAGCCTCATCTGAGCCAATCAGTCTCTAAATGTTCCTGGTTCTCAGCTGTGATGTAAGTTTAAACCTTATAAGAAAATATATTTCCCTGAAAAAAACTATGTACAGTTTTAATAAAATACACTATACGTTGAATAGATTATTGCTCATTTCAGCCTCTCTTTTTCTCTGTTGCTGTGTCAAACACACAACCCCTCCCTCCCTCACTCACACACACACAGTGTGACATCTGGGGGGAAAGTGTGCAGTGAGAAGGCTGCGAGTGCCTCTCATGATAACAACTCTGCATCTCAACAACCTGCATCCATCATCATCAGCGCTAACATCTGCTCTGAGCCTCAGCCTTAAATCTCTTTCTACTCCCCCAATCCTTTACCTCTCTCCAGTTCCCATCCTCTCTCCTCCTTTCCAACACTCATCTCTTCTTCCACTCCTTCACACAAAAAAAGAAGTTCCTTTGTAGCAACCCTCCTCATCATKCCTAATCCAGAACCACTCATCAGCAGAGCATGCAAGAATTTGTTTTGGTCTTTTTTTTGGCCATCCTTAAAAAAAATCAATATTTAATGATGAAGTTATCAGAGCTCTTATGTGTAATTTAAGCATGGTGTCAGTATGAATGAGATTCTGTCAGCTTTGTGACGTCAAGCATTTCTATTCTGTTAATGGGTGCTCCTGGTGGTACACAAACCAAAACCCTGTGGACGTCTGATGGATTTGTCAGTTTCTCTTCTGCTCGTGCATGCATGCACGGGTGCATGCCTACGCTGCCTGTCTACACGTTCAAAAAGAATTGAGTTAAGATATTCTGAGCAAGAACTGATTTAAGTTGTACACATTTGAAAAAGAATGCACCAAAAGCAGAAAAGAAATGCCAAAAAAAAAGGTTTTTGCTTTATGAGGGACTCAAATGACAACCAATCAAGTGTTTGTTTCAATCTAAACCCTCTCATCTCCAGACCATGTGTGTGTGTGTGTGTGTGTGTGTGTGTGTGTGTGTGTGTGTGTGTGTGTGTGTGTGTGTGTGT